ATCACTCTAGCGTAACTCAAAGGTTGTCCATAAATGATAGTCTCACTGAATCGAGCTATATAATAAAAATCTCTTTGAATAGATGGATGGACGATTAATACATACACATATGATTTAAGCACTTTTTCAAAATACTAAATAACATTATTATTGATAGTAGTATCTTCAGTAGTATCAGTATAATAACCAAGCTACAGTATTATTTAGTCCATGTTTAGTTTTGATTATTTCTTCGAGAAGATCTACTATATTGTCAACTTGATTAAAATTATCATTAAATTTCAATTCAACATTGTTTAAATAAACCGTTCACTACAAGTTTTAAAAAATTCTAAATTCAATCTTTACTATGAGCAGTGACCAGTGGAGTTCAACTGGGTCTGTTGTCAGATAGTAACTCACACCAGAGACAATGGTAAATGTATCACTTAATTTTGTGGTTTAATTGTAATTAAACATTAACACCATTGGATGCCGTCTGGCTCAGTGGTCTAGAGTTTAATCGTTCGCGTGCAAGACTGATAAGTTCTGGGTTAGAATCTCGCGGAGGGGGGAGCGGGATCGTGGATACGCACTACTGAGGAATCCTATACTATAACAAAACGATCATCTATTATTTCCAAGTTTTTCATGATTGTCTAATTTTAATTAACTCATGATCTCAACCATTGAAATCATTAAATATTGTACAAACTACAATTATTATCAGAATTCATTTAATGAACATGTGTGAACTGGATTATGGATTCATTGAAATTGTTTCCTTCTTTTTTCTAATTTTATTAGTACTGTCTACCTTATCTTAATAATTATTTATATTTATTCTTTTTTATGATATTCTTTTCTCTCTCTCTATCTCTCTCTCTCCATGTTATACATATTACTAAAGATGAAATATTCAACAGATGTATATATATATGATTATTATATGTATACACTTGATAATTTCATGATCAGCTATTTCTCTTCTGTTAAACGTCCTGAACAATATTCACTTGAGATTGAAGACAATAAATGAATAGATGAGAGAGGGAAAGAGAGAAGTAGAAGAGGATAAAAAAAAGGCTACCATATGAGTGAGTGTAAGATAAAGAAAGATTGATGAAAATCATGGTCAACAAATTTGATAAACTTTTAAATCACTACGTTTAATTCTTTATTGTATGCAATGAAAAACATCAACTTACGCATGTGTTTGTATACACCTCCCTGATTATTGTCAACTATAAAGTACCTCCCTCCCTCCCTCCCTCATGGTTTAATGTCTTTTAGAAAGGTTGGATATTTGTATTTTTATTAGTTCGAAACATTTATCTATAAGATAAACAAAGTCTTCTTATAGACAAAGAGTAATATTCGAAACTATTAATAAGGGGGAAAAAGAATGAAACAAAATAACAACAACAACAACAACAACAAAAAACAATATCTCTTTCTTCCTTTATTTTATTTGTTTTCTTCTTTCTGTTTATCCCTAAGATGATGATTATAGTATGGATGAATGAATGAATAAGTAGTTTTTATTTTCTACCCTTCTCATTATCTAAACAGAATACTTGTCCATGTGTTCCACTTGTGTTTATTCTAAGCGAAAATTCTTTCTAAATGATACATAAAAACTAATAAGGGATATTGGATAGGATAAGATGGGATAGGTTAGGTTAATAAGATAGATTCTACAGATATTGATATGATTTAGCTTAAAAAAATATAGTGTTAATCATGATATGTGTATATTTGTTATTCTATCATAAAAATTTTTTCATTTTCTGTCACTAAATGATAGAAAAAGTCAATAAAAGAAAAGATAAATAAATAATTGTTTATTTAATTTAAGATCATTGAATAGATCTCATTTATTTACAAGTTGAAACTTGTATTAGTGATTTTGGATATTACTACCACTACTACTACTACTAACCATAGTATTAAAACTATTCATATTTCTTGTAATGATGGATAATGACTAGCAGTGGAATCCATGACGCACGTTTCGTCCCATTTGAGACTTATCAGTCTATTCAATAAGCAAGTGGATAACACGATAGCGTTTGAAGTGAATGGTACTGAGTTCCAGTCCCAAAGTGAACATCAACTCTGAAATACAGGTACATCCAGCTAATGAGTCTCAAATAGAATGAAACGTGCGTTCTGGATTCCATTGCTAACCATTATCCATCTTTTCATATAATACTTGTGAATTAAAGCTATATCGAGGCAATGCGTACAGTATGCACATGTGACAATAAGTGACTGATGAATTACAGTTTTAAACATCAATGAGGAGATTCAAGTAAACAATACCAAGTGAATTTATTCATATTACTTATGTAACTTCATTGTAAGTGAAAGCTGCATCATGAACTAATATTAGAATAATGATGTAAAGAAAAATTAATGGATTCTTTGCATATAAAACGATGATTCTTGTCTTATCATTAAGTTTAATGACAATAGCGGAGCACCAGGTGTGAGCAATTAGAAGATGATAGGCTCACATTTCAAGTATTGGTACTAACGTTGAAACTGCAACGTACAGGTATGCCCAACTGACGAGTCCCCAGTAGGATGAAATGCGTGTTTGAGATTTTATTCTTAACTATTCAGAAGCACATAATACTTTCCTTCTGAATGAGGATATGTAATACAATTTACTGGACTTCAGTTCTATTAATTCACATCCGATTTAACTGTATTCTCCACAAGACAGACATAGGATGTTGGAAGCATAATATTATGAAGTGACCTAAGTTACGAATATTAATTATTGAATCCTATATGAGTGGTATCAAGTTAATAGATTTGAAAATGTAATTTATTGAATTCTCACTAAATTGTGAAATGATACCCTCGTCAACTCAAGATTGCATCAGGTTATATGTTTAATATTGTATTGAGTTGTAGGTTTAACTTACTGAGAAGTGTAATAGTAAGATGATTTTTTAAAAATTTAATATCAGTTTGTGATAAAACGTAATGATATAATAACTGACGATACTATTTACATTAACTGATCACTGGTTAGTGGCAGTTATCTAGTTTATCTAGTTTTTAATAGTGAATCGATTCCATCGACTAAGTTTCAACATGGTAGCTAACTTGATTATCTCCATATTGTTTGCAGTATTTAGAAATGTTAGTCAGTTGATGACATTCGATAGGAAACCTTGAACCTAGTTTTTATTCTGATCAAGACTCATTAATATGATATACTTATAATATTGCGGGGAGTAATCTTACCTGTAGGATTTGAACCTATGTCACATAGCCGAGTAGCTAGAGACATTGCCACTAGGCTATTTGACCAGTGAGTGATGTCCTGGATGACTTTAAAAATACGAAATCGGTCACTAGTCAGTAACTAATCTGAGTAAATATGTTATCCTTATATAAAGCCGAAAACGACTCGAATAGCCCAATGGTAACCTCTCAGGCTGTTATGCTGAGTAACGTGGGTTCGAAACCTATAGGCAATATCGCTCTCTACAATATCACAAGCATATCATGTTAACTAGCATCGACTAGAATGAAAACTAGATTCAAGGTCTCCTGGTGAATGTTTCAAACCACCTAACATTAAGGTGATACTGTCTGGTTGACAAATGTGAATTCGAGGCGTGAGTTTCGATCTAATAATTCAGTTTCATAGTACATAGTTCGTGTTACGTACAAATTCGATCGTCTTGTAAGAAACCAATGTTTATTTCAAGAAGATTTACCATTCCGATATTGATTCGGCAAAGGAACCATTAGTGTATTGTTGAGCTCTCATTGAATAATAAAGTTATCATAGTGGTACGATTTTCATACTGTTTCTAAATAGTAAATGATCAGTTCTCATCATGAGAAAAATTATTTTAAATGCCTCACAACAAGTAATCCATAGTGTTAAAATGTTCATGACACTCTGTTAGAAGCCCTGGATATAAGCTTCTTGTTGGCTAATATTTATCATTTAATCCAGATCAAGTGAAGCAACAGCGGCAAGAATATAATTTATGGACGAACCAATCAAATTTAGGATGACAGGTCACGGATTTTGGCGTAAAATTCATTCATCCATTTATCTAAATAACGTCTTTTCATTATAGCTTATGTCAGTTGGTGATGAAAACTCTAAATCTAATTCCTAACCCTAATCATCAACTGTAAATCATAATTCTAATTCCTTACACTAGTTTATAACCATCATTTAGTCCTAGTTAGTAGGTGAACATTCCCAAGGTCGCTAAGGCGTCACCCAAAAGTCGTCCATAAATTATCGTCTCACTGCAACAGCTAAGGAAGACAAATACAACATTATCTATCAAATAAACTGTATTAACTGTGAAAAACATTTCATTAGACTGAGTAGATGCCACCTTCACCAGTATACACGTGAATAAATGCTAGCAGTGAAAAGGTATGATCTACTATCACTGATATCAATACATCTAAACAACTGCAGACACAAATTTGATTAAGGAAATATTCCTATCATGGGTTCATAATATTCCATGAATCGCAAGGATTTTCAAGAAACATTTTATCCAGGTCAATTGATGAGTAACAGAGATGTCGTTGATGACTCAATTTATAAGTTTATAAGAAAGAGTTCAACTAACTACAAGTTCAAGTGCTTACTTCTACTTAGAGTAAGCTCTAGTGATGTTGTTGAGAACGACAATGAAATCTATTTAAATAAATCATTCATCTTAGAGAACTCAATATCACTAAAATGTTTCCTTAGATTTAATAATTTTTTTCCATAGTTTCAATATCTTCAGCATTAAAAAAACTATTGTTCCTTCAACGTTTTGAACTCGCATTATGGGATTCGTACTCAGAAAAGTTATCAACCAGTAATTTAACTTTTTATGTTAATGAATGTTAACTTTCAAGAGAACCTGAGTTTCTCATTTATCGATTTCCACCAAACATATAATATCAAAAATAGTATACTGAATTGTCAACTCATGATATTATTAGAGGTGAAGATTTTATTAAATAAAGATTACGTTTCAATCCAAGATTGATGATGATGATGATGATGATGATGATTTGGATGATGATGATGATGATGATTTGGATGATGATGATTTGGATGATGATGATGATGATGATGATGATGATGATGATGATGATGATGATGATGATGATGATGATGATGATGATGATGATGATTTGGATGATGATGATGATGATGATGATGATGATGATGATGATTTGGATGATGATGATGATGATGATGATGATGATTTGGATGATGATGATGATGATGATGATGATGATGATGATGATGATGATGATGATGATGATGATGATTTGGATGATGATGATGATGATGATGATGATGATGATGATGATGATGATTTGGATGATGATGATGATGATGTTGATGATGATGATGATGATGATGATGATGATGATGATGATGATGATGATGATGATGATGATGATGATGATGATGATGATGATGATGATGATGATGATGATGATGATGATGATGATGATGATGATGATGATGATGATGATGATGATGATGATGATGATGATGATGATGATGATGATGATGAAAAGAACTACTTTTCAACTGTGTCACATAAAACTGATATCTAACAAACTGACAGAAATTGAGAAATGATTATTGTACACATGTGTTATTTGTTTACTTAAATGCATCTATATTTTACCCCCAAAACAAATTTACTTTTCTGTAAAAATATCCCATCGGAATAAATAAACATAATATAAACAATGTTAATAAATAATCATATAAGGAAAATTCAGCAACTCATAACATATAACATAAAAAATCAGACACACACACACACACGCACGGATACACTCAGAGACAGAAAGGGTTTGTAGACGATGCGACAGAATCCCACTAGAAAAAGAAAGGCATTTTACAACAATACAATAAACAGTTTAGGACTATTTAAAACAAACAAACGAACTAAAAAAATCAACTAGAGAACAACAAATGCAAAATGGAAGATGAACAAAGTGAAGGAAACTAATGATACACAATCAAACGTTCATTAAACTCATTCATTAGTATCGAAGACGAACGATAAACCTCACTAGTTATTCAGTGTGCAGCTGCTTGAAGTACCGATCAAACAAGTTGTGGATCAAAATGCAATTCTCCTCTTGATATTTATCAACAAGGAAACACTAGCATTGTATGTATATGATCGCAACACAAGTTAGTCCATTAATAAAATGAAACAGGATGGTGTGTTGATGGTCACAATTTGAAATATGTGAAGCATATTGTCTATTATTCTGAGAATTAGTCACTCTACATACACACACAACCAAATCACAACACATGTCTCTGATTCAAGTACTGGACAATGATCGATGTGTCGAATGTAGTGAAATCTACTTGGTTCCATCTCAACATCACCAGTCACTACTATATCAACACTTCCAACACCAACACTCAACATCATACTGCTGAATTACTCGACTGACTGGTAACAGTAACAACATATTTGACAATCCACATTTATGAACAGAACAAAACCACAAGTCCACAACTATCATCAATCGATCAAAAACAATTTGTTACTATTTCAAACATCCATTCTCCAACATATCATACACACTAAGTAAACAAACTCATTTATTATTCGTACGAATTTGTCACTGCCATATAGAGTCAAACATAATATTGTCAAATGAGAGAAATATCACTTCCGAACAGATTAATACCATCACAGCGAATGTGATAATCTGCACCAACCGGACAACAGAGAGTGTATATACATGTGTGTGAATGAGAGCGAGAGAGAGAGAGAGAGAGAGAGCGAAAGACAATTAATAGATGACTTTACTGAATTCAATGTAGATAGCCTAAAGCATGACAGAATGAGATCGATTGTTCAATTCTGTATTGTGCGGGTTCTCACTTCTCATACAACTCACTGATTAACTCATTCACAAATTGTTTTTTTTAATTAATGATAGTTATCGTTTGTACTCGCTTTCATTTCACAGTTGATTATGCTGTCTACTTTCATGTTACTACGGTGTTTGAAAGTATGAAATGTTGACAGTTACAACATATTCACTTGTTCAACTGTCGGATAAACACAATAAAAACACATTGACATAATCTTCATTTCCATTTCCATTCATTCAACCAATTATTTGTCTAATTATTTCTTTTGTCTCTCTATTTGTCTGAGTGATTGTTTGTTTGTCTGTTTGTTTGTTTCCATACACTGTGTGTTCTTGTTTGAACAGGTTGATGTGATATTGTTGATTTTGTTCCAGTCGACTCAATGTGTCGATGTGTTGCATTTCGCACGTGTGAAATGTTCACATTTTTCACGCCATTTTCACACTTATCTCTTCTGTCTAACTAACTCATACAACAATGCTGATCACACTGTTTACTTAACTCCCTCCTCCATCTCTCCCTCTCTCTGTCTTTTCTTTGTGAGTGTACGTGTTCATGTCAATGATAATGACCATGATGATCGGATCAACTCACTTATCCTCTTCTCAATGTTCATTCATCTCTATTCCTCCGAACTGATATTCAGAGAATGATCATTTGTAAATTAAATTAAACCAGTTCACTTGTCTAATCAATTGTCAACAGATTTTCATTATCTTTTAGATTGTGTTTCGTTTCTGTTTCTCACTTCACAATGGAAAGTGGCAAACAATAATTACTTTGTCGTTGAATAATCAATGAACTGTCAAGTTAATTGTAATTAGTTAACAGAAATGATGAAAAACAATAAATAGGTTGAGGGAACTTTCTCATCTGTTCATGACATTGTCGTTGTTGTTGTTGTTGTTGGTGGTGGTGGTGGTGGTTGTTAAAATGTGATTGTGTTCAATAGTGAATATTAGATATTGCATATGAACATTACGATGTATTAAAATGATGTAAGACTACATGTGATTTTAACGAAAACTATAATGAGCGGAAATCTCCCACTTATTCATTATGGGCTATACGTTATATGAATCAAGTGTACGGAAGATGCTCACTAGGAGCTATCAGTTCGTAAACATCATAGTGAATGTTCTATGCAAATGTCAGAGGAAGGAATACTTGGATTGTTCTAAAGTTGAATTCGGTCACCATTACGTTCGTGACGTTTGAATAATCAGTTGTTATTCACCTGAACGACACATCTGTGTGTGTGAAACTAATCGCTGAATGTAGATTAGTGATATTTATTGTATATCAAAATAATGTATGTTTTGCATTGATAAGAACACATGGATGGTGAGATTGGATATGTGGATAATGTATTATTTACAATAGCATGTCTACAGTGCTATCTCACTCACCGCATGAACTTCATAAACCATGTTAATCGCACGATTATTTTTGGGATCTCAATTATTCACCGATTCTGCTTATCGGCTTATCTTGATTTTCCGAACTTACTCAAAAGTGATAGACAAACTTTGTTTTAAAAAAAGAATACTGCATGAAATATATGGCCTATTGTATTTTACAGAACTAACATAGTGTAGGACCAGTGGTGTGTCACTGAACACTGGTCAAATCTTTCATCAAGCTCAACCATTCCAACATTCAATGACTGATCAATAGTTTTTGATTTGTTCAATGAATATTTTGATTGACATGATTGATCATTTAGATGGATCAATGTCGGATCACAATTGTAAACCACTTTGCTAATATCCTATTTGTTTCGTACTGTTATACAAGGAGCCACATTAACCAGATACCATAAAATGAAGAACCCATAAGCTATGACTTCAACGTATTATCGGATAAAATCATTCCCGTTCTACTCAAGTGGATACACTACCATCCACAACACATTAACCATTTGTGAATAATACACTTGTCAAATAGTGCAATGTTTACATAAAATATTCCAGAATGAATTTCATGTACTAATTGACTTGACCTTCAAAATCCATTCACACCATCTTCATAGATTGATTATTTGAGGGAAAGTTGCAATTGACTCCAGTATTCGTAATTTACAAGTGTTACTCATTAATAGTGTGAAACTGTCATTCGGTAATCTTCGTTCAACTCTATTCACCATCAATCAACACGCCCACACGAATAAAACACATTCGTCTAACGCAGTCACTCACACACACACATACACTGTAAATGTTTACATCGTACGATCAGATTTAGCCTACTTGTTTTTCATGTGCAAGTGAACTATTGACAAAACAATAAAATGTGACTTCCAGTAATGATTGACTAAAATGCAGCAATGAGTGAATGAGTGAGTGAATGAATGAATGAATGATTTGACCAGTTTAACTCCTCACTCATAATATTCACACAAAAACACATGTGTTTGACCTCAATTAATCACATGCACTTACAATGTTCTAATGTGGTCTAATGTGGTCTAATGTGTTTTGAATATCCTTATTTAGACATTTGCAATGTGATGAAAATTACTATCGATACGATCACGTAGTGGATGAATAAACTTCCAACCAATCACAATGTTCACTCATGTTTCTTCGACAATTACAATATGGTTACAATCTTTGTAGTTAGTCATCACCAATTAAGAAAACAGTGAAATGGGATCAGTCATCGTAGTGATTATTACTATCATTACTGTTATTATTATTATTACTACTGCTATTGTTATTGTTATTGTCTGGACGATGTGAATAATATCGGTGTATGGTTTTGTGTAGATTGTAAAATATTCACAGTTTGGAACATAATGTGTTTGTAGCTAGATGACTATTGAAAACCAGTAAGCACTGGAGAGTTATTTTGTTGTAATGTGGGACTCCTCATCGATGTGCGTGTATGACCCTACCGGAGGAGTTGTACCCACAACCTTCGGTTTATTATGCAAACGCTTAACCTGTACACCACTAAGCCAACATCCAATCACGTACGCTTCCAACATCAATCGACTGACAATATTCAGCATCATTCTGCATCAACTGTGTTGTATAATTCTTTCACACATTACATCCCTGAATTACTCAGTTCATGTCTTCGCACTAGAACTCGATTGATTGCTTCATGAAACTAGTCACTGATAACCACATACTTCAGATGGGTATTGAGTTTAGTGGGGAATGTAGTATCCAATTTGATTTTTGTCATTAATTTATAATCGAATTATGAGAAGGAAATTGAATTGATTTTTCTACCGATGTTCTTTATGCGAGTTCTTCAAGCCAATCAACACTAATAATTTACGGTATATTAAAATGATGTCACACTATTAATTGTTTTAACGAAAACTATTATGTGGGGAAATATCTCTCTTATTTATTAGATATTTTTATGGGTTATTTATTCCTTGAGTTATCTGTTCCTGGCAAGCAACAGATTGTCTTGTTTTCTAATGAGGTACTCCTTAGCAGTGAACAAATATGACTCTCCATTGAGATTCGTATCGAATGACTTTCACCCTCGAACCTATATTGTTTAATAAGATGAATAACTGTATTATGAAGAATACAAGTCGTTGAGAATCAATTATTAATTTATAATTGATTTGTTTGAAGCGATCACGAGTTCACTTAGTCTGCAATTGGAACAAAGACTTGTGACCAAAGACCAATAAACTACCTATTCCGTTGCGTCGCAGCCACGCTAACTATAGAGAGAATCCGAAGTCCGAACGGGGAAGTGTATTCCGCAAAAAACTAGAAGCACGAGCGATAACAACAGACACAAATCAAAATGTATGTATACAGCACAAAACTGTCCTTGGAAAGCGTTACAAAATAGCATACTAAAGGACACAACGGACCAATAACGTTTAAGATTCTCCCGAGTGGGAATTATGACATGAAAGTGTGCGAAATCAAAGAAATTCAAATTTTCGAAATAAAATTCCAAAATTAGGACCTTTTTCTAAGTGAGTTCTGAGGATCTAACGTCCCCAACAATAATCTTGGTTACTAAAATTTTATATAATATCAAATAAATAAAAGTTAATACATTTCACATGTTTTACACTAAACTTAATAAATTTATCATGTAAGTCTCATTCTTTCGCTCACTTAAGACTTACTTCATGATGCTCCTTGTGATATTTTGTGACTAAGTTAGTTTAGACTTGCTAGGAGCAAAATAGTTGTCATCATCGCGTTATATTACATATTCATTGAAATAGATGATGCCGCAATGGATATAAGCTTGGTGGTTTTAGTAGTTAGGCTTTTTACACGAAACCTGAAGGCATTGAGTTTATACACAATTAAGGAAGTCATAGGAGGAAGGAACAGCTATCCCGTGCCGAATGGTTGAAATTGGCAACCGAACTGAGATTAATCTATAAAATATACAAAATAGCTCCATTAAATCATGATGGTCAATTCATTAGTATCCCACTTCCAGATGTTACTAAAATTCTAGTGTAATGTCATGATTAGATAAGATGGTGGTTGGAGGTAGTCAATAGAATACTCTGTATCCGGGTTTCGTGCTACTTAGGACTCGTCAGCAAGGTGTACCTGTAATCTTGAAGGAACTGGTGTATGGAAGATGATCGCGCAATTTCGTGGATTGATTGAGGTTAGACACTGTTGGATACCGGCTCACTAGTCTAGTGGTTAAGTGTACGAGAACGAGACTGTAGGCCTTGGGTTGGAATCCCGCGCAGAGGGATCGCGGATGTGCGCTGCTGAGGAGTACCACAATAGGACGAAACGACCACCTAATACTTTCAGGTTTTCAATGGTGGTCTAACATCAATCCATTCATGATCTCAATAAAAAAAGGATCTCTACACTTTCCTTTCAATAAAATGAAATAGTTACTTAGTAATTTACTTTTAACAAATGATTTTTTTTACTTTTTAAGTTCATTTTAAGTTCGTGACGAAAATCAATCTATTTTTGTCATTGATTCCCCCATACCCTTTTCACTTTTATAATTCTGTCTTTCTCTCATACACACATCATTATACTAACTTACATAATCTTTTCACTTATGTATATACGTGCCTGTATTTATTATCATGGATAATATGATAATTATTAATTTCCTTTTATTAAGTTTGATGATAAAAAAAAAAGAAAGAAAGAAAGAAAGAAAGATAAAAGACAATAGAATGTGTACACTATTCAATTATATAATTGTATACAACTAAATCGGTTCATTTCCATCTATTCCCATATTATATTCTCTCTTAATCCTAATTGTAATTATCTATATTCAATATGAAATGAAATAATTTATTCCCTATTCAACTTCTCTCTCTCTCTCTTTCTCTCTCTTTATTCACTATTCAATTTATTATTGTAAATGAAATTGAAATGATAACATATACATATTCAATATATCACCATGGTAACAATTATTCATTCAAATTTTTGTTTTACTATTCTACTTCTGAATTTTAAATGTAAAAATTAACAAAACAAAAATTAAATAAATCGAAGATTTCAATAGTTGAAATCATGAATCAACTGAAGGAGGAGTCCCATATTAGGACGAAACGGCCGTTCAGTGCTTTCAGGTTTTCCATGATGGTCTAGCTTTAATTGATTCATGATTTCAACTATTGAAATGACTAAAGTCTCCACAAAACCCCTTCTAGTAAAAATCGAAGATTATTGAAATTTCATTTGAAATGAATTTAGTTTTTTTTTATAAAAATTTTATTACAGATTAAAGTAAAAGATGAATTCTTAGTTTAAGGGGATTGTAGAGATTGTTGAATTTCACATTTAACAATATTACAAACATTCATTTTAAACAATCATTGAAAACAGAGAAGCATTGGATAGTTGTTTGATCTTGGTATGTTAATACATAGTAATGCTCAGGAGGTTGATCTCAAATTGAATAACTTATTGGTAATATCCTAAATTATCAAACTGTATGATACCAGTTCTAATCAACCAGTGGACATCAGTTTCCTTAAAATTATAAGTACACATTGCTGATATGTGCTAAATAACACAAAACTTAGATTATGTAGGGTTTCCTGTCTAATACCTCCAACTACTCAACATCATAACCCTATATTGAATATCAGCAATGATAAAATATGTCTTTCTCTTAAACTGGTCATACCGATCGATGCTTATTCGGATTTTGTATTACTAAGAAAGTAATTTTTGCATTTTAAACAATGAGTACTGTAAATTCACTTGGTATTGTTTATTTAAATCTTCTCATTGATGTTTAGGACGGCAATTAATCAGTCATTTATTGGATAACGCGATAGCGCTTGGAGCGAATGGTACCGAGTTCGAGTCCTAGAGTGAACATCAACTCTGAGATGGAGGTACATTGAGCTGACGAGTCCCAAATAAAACGAAATGTATGTCCTCGATTCGATGGCTAGCCACTATCCATCTTTGCTTATAATGAATACTGTATT